GAAACATCTACGGGAGAGAGAAACCAATTTACTGCCTCCTACCCGCCTCCTACTGGGGATCAAGCCTACATCCCTGACATGTACCCTGACCGGGAATCTGGGACCTTTTGGTGCATAGAATGAAGCTCAACTAACTGAGCCACACAAGCCAGGGCTATTATACCATCTTTGATCAGTAGGAGCCTCTTCAAGTTAGCTCTTGAGTCATTTTTTATGACTCCTGTAATCTTTGATACCTTTCTTGCTTTTTGGTGCAGGATGAATTAAGCTCATCTGTATATTCCCCACTCCAGACCTGAAATCTGGAGCCCTGGTTCCTTTTAGTGGGAAATGGTATTTAGAGACCATAACACTTGATCATTTTTTAAAAAAATGGTCTTAAATTTTATATGTAGAAGGGTTCTTTGAAGTTTCTACCCAGCGTAGGAATCTTTGTCCTAAGTATTTTGCATGTTTGTAATTGGGCTCTTTCGAAGATTATTTAAAAATGTTAAGTGACAAACATTCTCAGATGGAACATAATCTACTCTTTGCTGTTTTTAAGTAAAATCTAAAATGAGAGGAAACTAATAAAAGTTAGAAATAAATGTATAAAGCCAATATAGCAAAAATTAGAATTTTAATTTTAAAACAATACTATTCACAGCAAAAATAATTAACTGCCACAAATTTCTGACTTTATGTTTGTAAAGATATAATTCATGTTGAGGTTGTAGCTGCCATGGATCATTATGTATCAAAAAACCTTGCATTGAAGTATATAGAACAAAAATTTTAATGGTTTAGAGAGGAAACAAAGTTTAATTGAATTTGGTACACTATGGGGAAAACATTACCTTCTTCTTACACTCCCATGAAACATTTACAGAAATTAATCATAATTTACACATTTTAAAACCTTAAAATTTAGAAAGTACATTCTTTGACCACAGTGCAGTGAAGCTGAAATGAGTAAAGTGTCAATTAAAATAACCCAAACATATGGAATTTTAGAATTTTTAAGCAACTCTTGGGCTAAACAAGTTGAAACTAACTTTAATTACAAACTCTTAGAAATATAACAGTGAGCTATATGTCATTTATACCTCAATTGAAAAAAAGAGTATAACATTGAGAGCATGCCATATCACAGTTTGGGATATGAGCAGAGCTACTCTAAAGAAAATATTTAGCATTAAATGCTTTTAGTGTAAAAAAATAAATTGCATATTCAACTTTGTATGTTAGAACAATGAAATAAACCTGAGGAAAGCATAAGGGAGGAATTAATAAAGTTGAAAATGATGTGTTAGAAAGAATATCTAGCGCTGCCAGTGTGGCTCAGTGGTTGAGCATAGACCTATGAACCAGGAGCTCATGGTTCGATTCCTGGTGAGGGCATATGCCTGGGTTGCAGGCTTAATCCCCAGTAGAGGGTGTGCAGGAGGCAGCTGATCAGTGCCTCTCTCATTATTGATATTTCTATATCTCTTCCTTCCTCTCTCTGAAATCTATTTAAAAAATACATATTTTGGGGAAAAATATAAAATCTATAGCTTGATAAAAAAATAGCTGATTTTTTGTGAAGAGTCCAATAAAGTAAACAAGTTTCAAGAAGAAAAGACTATAACCATAAATAGATTAGGATAATATATTGAACAACTATATGTATAATTAACTCAGTGCTGATTTAGATATGAATTAGTGGAAAATTTTCTTTTTTTTTTTTTTTAATAAATATATCTTTATTGATTTCAGAGAGAGGAAAGGAGAGGGGGAGAGAGAGAGATAGAAACATCAATGATGAGAGAGTCATTGATCGAGCCCGCAGCCCGGGCATGTACCCTGACCGGGAATCGAACCATGATCGCCTGGATCCTAGGTCGATGCTCAACCACTGAGCCATGCCCGGCCGGGCTAGTGGAAAATTTTCTAAAGTAAATTACCAAAATGATTCAAGAAGTAGAAAACCTGGGTTCGATTCCAGTCAAAGGCACTGCCTTGGTTGCAGGCTCGATCCCCAGCTCTGGTCAGGTGTGTGTGTGAGGCAACCAAGGGATGTGTCTCTCTCACTTTGATGTTCCCTCTCTCTTTCTCTTCCCCTCTCTTCCATTCTCTAAAAAATCAATGGAAAAAATATCGTCTGGTGAGGATTAACAAAAAACAAAGAAGTGGAAAATCTGAATAGGCCAATAACTGTTTAAGAAATTGTAAATGTCAACAAACAACCCCCCAAGTTTCTAATCTATCTTTGTAACCTTTGAGGAACAGCTTTTTAAAAAAAATATTTGCCAAAACAGAAAAAAATCTTGTATAAAGATGCCAAAAAAGACCTTGGTATGTTTAGTGTTCATTTCTGATAAAATCCTATTCTATGAAGCTAAGAGTAGAGGGTTATTTCTTTCGTTTGTATTAGAATCCAACAACTGTCCCTGGAAATTTAGGAGGGATACCTGCTACTACCATAGTTACTTATTACTATTTTGGAAGTTCTAGGCAATGTAGTTAGATGAGGAAAGGAAATAAAAGGTGTGAAGTTGGGGAACAAAATTATTCTTTTCAATGATACAGTAATTTACCTGTAAATCTTAAGAGTATCAATAGAAAATATTTTATGGCTAAGAAGTAAAAGTGCAAAAGTGAAAACAATCTGGAGTAAGAGAAGAAAATGTATCAGGATTGTAACAGGAAACAGTAAAATGCCTAGTTACAAAATAAAACTATTTAAAAAAATCCTACAAAACCCAATAACTCGATTATAAGTAGTTGGAAAATATGTTTTTAAAAGAGATTGATTCACAGAGTAATGAAAAATTAAAATTCCTTGGTATAAACCTAATAAGAAATATGTGAGACTTATAGAAAAGGATAAGACTTTACCTAAGGACATGATAATAAAACAATAGTCACAACAACTAATTTTTATTGAGCATTGTTTTAAGCATATGTCTTAACTCGTTTAATCCTCAAAATGACCCTGTAATGTAGCGGTAAGACTGAGGGTAACAGGAAAAGTGCCTTTTTAGGGTTCTTTAGCTGTAGAATGAGGAAGAATGGAGTTGGAGCCATGTAAAGGAGACTCTGTAGCCACTAAGCTTTGATGATTCTGGAAAAAAATAGACTCATATGCCATGTTCCTGCATGGAAAAACCCAATGTTATAAGAATACGTCCCATTAAAATATTTCAGTCAGTATTACAATGGACTTTTGTCTCCTCCCCCCCCCCCATTTTG